AATCTGTACTAATTATAGACAAAAAAATGCAACGAACGGTACTATAGAAAAAAACAGAACCGGTTCGGAGAGAACTAATAACCGAAGAGAGACTGTTAAATTTTTACGTTTTGTGTGAAATATTTACGTTTTTATTATTGAGACTATTTCCAGTTGTACTATATTGTTATTATTATTGCTTTTACTACGTTATTATTGTTTTTTTTTGTGTTTTTTCATATATGCAATGCAGGGTTGTTTGTATGTGTATGTGCGTCTTCACCGACTTTTTATCTCGAGACCGAGAAAAGCCACAAGGCTGAAACTCTAGCAACTTAGTCTACACTTGTGTGCGGGCCTCTATTCAAAGTGATCGCTTTCTTCCATATGGTACTCATGTGCGGGGATGTGAACGTTTTGGTGGGAGACCTGCCAACTCGCGAACTAGAGAAGCTAGAAAGCTGCAGTTTTAAGGAAATGTTCTTCGCTCACGTGCGATCTAATAACTTCATCAGCCTCCACGCGTGCGTTGCTGGCAGGAAAATTGCTAACTCTAGAACCTGAACAGCTGGGAGACTGCAAATTTAAAGGGATTTCTCTCATTCGCTAACACGCAAATATTTCAAATCTAGCCCCCAGGCGCGCGTGATTCTTACGTGCGGGCATTCAAAGTTTCGGTGGTAAAATTAATCATTGAACAGTTAGTTCATTTTCAAATGAACGACTATTTGACGAAAACTGTTCATTTCCCCTTATGCAAAATTTATACAATTACTAAAACCAGCACATACCCGCTTGGACGGAGAACATTCCCCTAAGTTTTCAACGTTCTAGCTTCTCAGATCCTCGAGTTATGAACTTACCCGAAAAAAACTTTGGCGGGCCCGTACGCAAGTGCCACGCGGGTTTTGGCGCCCATTTTGGGGATTGGGGCCGGTACGTGCATGCAGATTAAGTTCCCGAAATTTCAGCCCCGCTGCTTTTATAGATCTTGAGATAAAACACACAGGCACACAGACACACAGACAACCCCTCGTCAATATGCGTTTTCTGCATTGCATAGCTGCAAAAAACACACAAAGAAAGCAAATTTTTGCTAGTTGGAAAAGTATGAAGGCGATCGTACGTTGCAAAACGCACTCGTTTCTGAGTTTACGGTAAAGTTTAGTATTTCTCATAACCACCTGAAGGGAATTCCACCTCCAACAGACTGCACTTGAAAGTAGAATATTTTTCCAGCGAAGTTTTAGCCTCGCACCTCACCCGGCTGACGAAATATCCACTTCGCTACAAATATCTTTTAAGTGCCTTAAGTTGTAAAATTGAAGCTCTATTTAAGTATAAGATTCCCCATTTGGGCAAACAATATTCTGACAAAAATTCAGCCCCATGTTTTCCGGCAGGTTTTCGAGTTAGCACAGTACCAAATTGCAAACTCTGACGTGATTGTACGTGTTACACAAACGTGCGCGACAGCTGAGTTTGAAATATTTAGCTTGTACATGCACAATGAATGTCTCTGCATAGTTTCAGCTTCGTATCTTGCCTGGTTCAGAAAATCGTTTGCCGCTAAAGAAATCTGCATATTTTTTTCGGGGACCGTAAGCGAACTCTAGGCGCGTATCAGCAAAATTTTTGAAACGGAAAGATAACGCATGGGGTTGGAACACCTACCCAAAATTTCAGCCACCCAGCTTTCCTGGTTGCTGAGATGAAAATGGATGACAATGTTCCCTCGCTTCCAAACACACACACACACACACACAAAGACGACCTCTCGACAATACGCGTTTTGCTAGCTATAGCAACGCTATAACGCTGCACAGCAAAACGGATAAAAATGCGTGATCACACCGGCTGTTGAGACCGGTGGTCTCAAGATATTGTTGGATCGGCTGCAAATTCTGTGAGTTTCGTTTACAACGACTGTTCAACAAGATTGATGGTTAAATACGAAAAAGACAAAGAAGCAAAATATGCGGAAACTATTAACGAGGAAGAGATGGGTCAAAGAGTTGAAGGCCAAGAAAACTACTGGGACAAGGAACCGGATATTGCCGTTCACGCTTCCGCATTCGTTATCTCCCAGCCGTATTCGTTATCTCCCAGCCATCAACCCCACATTGCTCCCGGATTCGTTCGCGGATGCGCAAGACATTTTCGATGAATTCGAATTCCACTTCGAGTGTGAAGTAAACGGCAGTGATTTACCGCCATTGAAATATCTCAAAATCGGATGCGCTGGATAGCGCTGCTCGAACTGGCGTACGATGATGTGAAGGAAGAGTTGACGTGGTCGAAAGTGAATGACGAAAAGTTGGATCGCGAAAAGTTCTCAGTCTGATTCATAAAGCTGGGATCGCTCACTCGCTTCGTCCCTTCTTGTGGCTTCGCTTTTGCGATGCAACAAAAAGAAAGCTGCTTTTTCTTTGTCTCTCTTGTCTTGTGCTGAGCTTTTTCCTCCTTTTAATGCGTTTTTTGCAGCAATGCGAAAAACGCATATTGACGAGAGGTTGTCTGTGTGTCCGTGTGTCTGTGTGTCTGTGCGTCTGTGTGTCTGAGCATCTGTGTGTCTGTGTGTGCGTCTGTCACGCACTTTCATCTCAGGGCCTATACTGCGGGGCTGAAATTTCGACAACTTAATCTGCATGCATGTACCGCCTCCAATCCCCAAAATGGGCGCCAAAACCCGCGTGGTACACGCGTACGGGCCCCCCAAGGTTTTTTTGGGGTCAGCTCATAACTCGAGGATCTGAGAAGCTAGAAGGCTGAAATCTTGGGGTAATCGCCCAAGCGGGTATTAGTGGGCTCAAACCCAGCCCCCGGGTAAGCGTGGTACCCACCTACGGGCCCGCCAAAATTTTTTGTTAGTGGGATCAAACCCAGCCCCCGGGTAAGCGTGGTACCCCCGCACGAACCCCCCAAAATTTTTCCCGCGTAAATTCATAACTCGGGGTTCTGAGATACTAGAAAGCTGAAATTT